GTGCTTTGCCTACCAAGGGGCTCACACCAGGGACGGGTGCTTTGCCTGCCAAGCCCTCTCAGGCTCTGACACAGTGTTCTTGCTTCCAAGGCGACGGCCTCCTCCAGGAAGGCTGGCAGCATGGCGTTGGCTTCTCAGCCCTTGGTAAAGAGAGTGCAGTTGGACAGCTTTGTTGTCAAAGTGCACGTATTTGATGGAGCAGCTACGAGGAAGTACTTAGGCTCCTCCACGGCCCAGAGGATAGTGGAGGGCCAGCTCTGACCAGGAGAGGAGGCAGAGTTGCGCACACTCCCTCGGGCGCGTTTTACGGCTGCGCACAGACAGACCTTGGCAGTGAGTCACATACCATTGCCAAATGAGACAAGACAACTCTGGGATGTCACTTTTTCCTAAGGAGGCTTGCGTAAGCATCTCATCGCCAAGTGGCATGACACAGTTTTCCCTGTGCATCACTCCAGTGTGAACCTGGCGGGCTCGATGCGCAGCGCCGACAAGTGCTCACAGGTGTGCAGAGGATTAACTGGAGGGTGACTGTTCTGGGGGGAAGCCCCAAGGCGCAGCTGTGTTTGGGGTGAGCTGAAGATTGCAGCTGGAGACTGCTGTTGACCCTGAAGGGAGGTGGGGAAAAGGTCACATATTTCCTACAGAAAATTCAGTGCAACTGTGGGTGATTAGAAAACCCCAGAGGCTCGTCGATCCAAGCTCAGCCCAGAGAGGAGCGAGATGATTCAGTGCACATCGTTCTGGTCAAGCCCAGCAAGCAACAAGGGCACCAGCTAAACAGAGCATCGGAGGCTTCACAGAGAAGTTCCCCTCCAGTTCCTCCAACGAGGAGAGAAGGGGCAGGATGTGCCTGCACTTCTGCAACTCCTGGGCCCTAATCAGTGTTGCTGGCATCCTGAGAGCAAAGGGCAGCTCCTTATGTTCCCAGGAGCTGGCCCAGCATTCTGGACAATCCCAGGGCTGGGGCTGGACAATGTCTCTGTGACAAGCTGGGCCCTGTAAGGCTTGAGGACTTGGACTTGAACTCCTAAATTGCAGTTCTATCATAGATGGACTTATTGTAGGTCAAGAGAACTGTGGCTTAAGTTGTAGGGCTACTTCTGGCCCGTGGAAACAAAACCAATGACTATTCCACAGGGAAACACAGTTCACAGTTGCCGGACAGGCCTCGCACTGCCTCTAGAATGTCAACAGTCAATTTAACTAATGCCTGTTGGCAGGGACACGGAGAAGCTGGCATCCGTGATGAATCCAGTAATGTGAAGTGATGCAGCCGTTTTGGAAAAATGAATTGGCTGTTTCTTAAAAAGTTAAGTCTAGGCAATGGGGAGATAGCGCAGTGCTTAGCAGCGCTTGCTGGACAACCGCAAGGACCTAAGCTTGAGCCCGCTTAATGTGCTGAACACGGGCTGGACTGTGTGCGCACCACCACCGTCGTGGAGGAAAGAGGCAGGGGCATGGCTGGGGCTTGATAACTGCCAGTGCAGCCAAAAGACGTGAGTTCCAGAGTCAAGGAGACTCTGGCTCAAAGCAGTAAGTTGTGGAGTTATAGACTAGGGTACTCAGCACCATCCTCCAGCCCGGGCGCAAGCATGTACCTGCTCACACACGGGTGCACATACCCAGCCCCTCGCACACACACACATACCTCTTTCTCACATGCGTGCACATATGTACATCCTCATGCCCACATGTGCACAGACACAGGCAGAGGGGTAGGCTGAGGAAAGCAGGCCGGCACAAAAGACATCCGTTAGACGGCCCTAGTTATACAAGACAGCTATGAAAATAGTAAAGTCAAACACAGCCTTTCTAGCCCAAGTCTGTCAAAGCCTGAGGACAGTCTCTCTGGCTCTGACTGGCTTCTCACTCTGAGGCTGCCTTGCCCGGCCACATGGTCGTGAAACCCATCACAAACCCCCTCACATTTGTCATGAACAAGTGTGACTTTCCCAGGGAACTTGGGGTATAGAACAATCAGGACTCACAGATCTCTCCTGATGCTGTCTTAGAAACGTGCTCTGCCACAACTCTTAGGCCATCCTTTGGTGGACAGGTGGTGAAGGTTTATCGACTCCTCCTGTGCACATTTAGTTACTTCCACGGTTGCGGCCATGAGCTGTGGTGAAGAGTAGCCTAATGGGTGCTTTGCCCACGCTCTAGCGAAGAGCAGATGTAGCGTTTGTGCGTTGGATGCTTTTAGGCTCCCACTTTCTTTGGTGCCATGTCTCCAGTTTCCCTCTCACCTCTTAGCAATCTGTCCTCTTGTGTATCGGTTTCTAGTCTCCACAGTTCAAACCTCACCAAGGCAAGTCGGGGCCTATCAAAAAACAACCACAACAAGAACAACAACCCTCATTTTGAAAATTGGGCCCATTACTGAGAAGCAAAGTATGAACTGGGGAGGTGGTCCCTAACGCTCTGTGCCTGGCTGTGTCTGGCTGTGACTGTGTGACCAGCGCTGGCGTGCTCCTGCTTTCTCATTCTTGCTTCTCCTCTGTCTCTGCATTTGCCCCACATTGTGTGGTAGCTATGGCAAAGAAGACAAACTGAGCATAAGTTAAAATCTTGTTCTATCTAAACTCTTTCAAAAATCTGGTGAAAACGGTAACTGTTGAAATGTTCTTGGCAAGATAGCTGTGTAAACAGCAATGATATGGACAGAGTGTGATAATTTAGATATGAAATATGCCTAAAACCCATGTGCATGGTCCCAGGGCAATGCCCAGAGGTGGGACTTCTGCAGATGACTGAACCCTGAGGGCTCCGACCTAATCAGTGGATTGATGTGTTCAAGATGTGTTGTTGGTTATTAATATTACTATTGATTTATCTTTTAATTAATGAGTAATTATTCATAAACAGCTGTATAGCCAAATCCCCAAACAGAGACTAGGATTTATTTAATTAACCTAGAGTACAATGCTGGGCAATGGTTACTTCATCCTAAACCTCCAAACCCACATAGTTTCCTACCATTCAGATTCACCCATTATACTTGCTTTTAGTGATATCTTAGGTCCAGTTCATTTCTCCATGTGGTTCCAAGACCTCTCCTCCAGATTTTCCTCCTCCTCCTCTCCTGCTTCCTTCCTCTTCCTCTCAGTCCAGACCAGGATGTCCCACCCTATTCTCTCCATTGTCCAGCAATGTGGCTGGTTATTTTAATTGACTGACAATTTAGAGAACAGATGGTGGCATGTTTACACAAACTTGGGACAGGTGATGCTTAGAATAAGCATCACAATGCAATGTCCAGATTGAAACCAGAGAGTGGGGGAGAGAAATCAGCATTTGAATGAACAAGGGTAAATTGTATACATTCCAAAAGAACATTATACCAACAAAGATGGATGCATAATTTGAAGGCATTATTGGGAAATGGTAGAAAGCAAGATGTAGGGCCTGACCTGCAGAGATAAATCACTAAGGGTGTGGCCCTGAAGTTCGATTGGTCCTTCCTCTCTGTTTCCTGGCCATATGAAGTGAGAGGCCTTGGTGCTCAGCATGTGCTCATGAGGCTGTACTGTCTTATGGGGGGGGGGGGAGCAGGAAAAACAGTTGGTGGCCCAGACTGAAACCTCTGATGCTAGTGGTCAACTTAATCACTTAATCTCTCTGTGATGCATCGACTCAGAGTCCTTCAGGTATGTCTCCAGGAGTGGTAAAGCTGGGTCATATGGTGGATTTAGTCTTAGCTTTTTGAGGTCTCCAAACTGACTTCCACAGCGGGTAGACCAGCTGATGCTCCAAGCACAGCGTCTGAGGGCTCCTGCTTTGCATTAATTTGCTTTGACATCTTTGTCATGCTGATGAAAAGTGGCTGTCCAGAGCATTTCCCAAGTTCACTTCAGAGCAATATATATATAACAAACATATAACAAATATAATAATATTATAGATATATATACTTTTGAGACAGAGATGAGAACATGGAACTGAGCAGTGAGGAAATGGACTCCTAACAGTGTCCTGTCAAACAACAGGTCCCACAGAGAAGGTCTTTACCCAGCCTGGTATCCAGGTCTCCAGCACCAATAAATAAATTAAATAAAGCACCTTGTAGTTACAAGCGAGATTTCTTGTCCCCAAGATCCTTTAAGGAAGCGTTTGTAAGTTCATGTAATTTAGCAGAATGAGAATTAGTAACTTCATGTGCTTGGAAAATTACAGCATTCCGCATTTCCATCCGGTAACAACCTCGCACAACCTAGTCCTGCCCTGCCCTGGGTGACAAGCTCGGCGGTCAAGCTCGGCGGTCAAGCTCGGTGGTCAAGCTCAGCGATCAAGGAATGAGTGCAGAGCCCAGAGGATATGTTCAAAGGCACTCCTCACCCCGAAAAGTGTCTGCACTGCTCAGCCTCGCCTCCAGAAATCAGAGAGAAACATTTGCCCATCAGAAGCTCTTTCTCAGGAACAGCTCTTCAGGGCGCTCAGTGCTTTCTGATCTCCTGGGGGGAAGACACGCTAGCAGCATGCTCCGGCCGTCTGTGCAGCGAGCATGTCAGGGCATGCTTTGTACTGGGAACTGTATCGAGTTCTGGGAGTACAGAAGACGGTAAACGCAGCCCTCCCCGAGGGTCTTCAGTTGACTGAGCACCCCCAGTCAAGGCTGGGCCAGAGACCTCAGCTGGAACAACAGCTCAGTCACAGCATGTGTTCATTTGGCTGAGGGTCAAGGAGTCCTTATATGGCTTGCTGATGAGATGTACCCCAAAAGGCTCACGTGTTGAAGGCCTGGTTCCCAGATGATGCAGTCATTGAGAAGACATTAGGTTGGGGGGCTCTGAGCTGATCCATGGATTAATACATTGACTGATTCATGTGCTGATGTGGTTATTGGAAGGTGATAGGAAGCAGGAGGTAGGGACTGACTGGAGGAAGTAGGCCACGTTCCTGTCTGCCTTTTGCTCCTTGGCAGCTGTATGCTGAGCAGCCATTGTTGCTTCTGCGTAGTCTGCCTCTCTGAGCCATGGAGTGAGATCACTGTGGACTGAGGTCTCTGAAACCATGGACCAGAATAAGTCCCTCCTTTAAAAATTGTCACAGTGATGAAACTAACAAAATGGCACTCAGGTGTGGGCCATGGGCACTGAACTCTAGAGTCTGGGGGTGTCTTGGGGGTACCTCTTGTCTGTTTATACAACTTTTGACTCAGGGGTGATACAGAGCTAGATTTACATTTCCTTCAAGGCAAAGGACACCGCCTTCATGAAGATCCGTGTAAAGGAAGCTTGCTACTGTGACGGGAGGAATCCCTGCCCTGTTTCTCAATGTTATGATTCGATTCCTGTGTTTACTTTGTGGCGAGGGGTTTTGTTTAAGAGTTTGAACCTGATTAGATCGAGTTGATATGACCTCTCCCATCTGCCTATACACTTTTTAATGACCCATAGGCCTCCATCACTTGTCCTCATCAGGAGCACGAGTCCTTTTGAGTTATACACGATCAGGCCTCCCTTTCTGTGCCCCGGCTAAGGGCACGGTGAGCTGAGCTCTGAGAGACTGCACCTTTCTGGCTTTGTGCCGTATACAGAGCTCACGACAGAGCGGCAGTTCTGTGCAGGTCCTTCAGTCTGAGAGTGAAGACGAGGCCAACTGCTGCAACCAATCGATGCTAAATGTTAGATGGAGCTTTGTGATGGGGTGACAGCTTTTGTTTGGCGTAAGATGGATCTCTTTATGAAGTTTGCTTAGTAAAATTTGTTAAAAGTCACAAAAATTTAATCCTAATATTAATTTTAATTTCAAGATTTGCTTCCCATTCTTGATAGGTTTGTTTGTTTGTTTGTTGACAGGGTTTCTCTGTGGAGCCTTGGCTGTCTTGGACTTGCTTTGCAAACCAGGCTGGCCTTGAACTCACAGAGATTTGCCTGCCTCTCCCTCCTGAACACTGGGATTAAAGGTATGCCTCCCTTCCCCATAGTTTTAATTCCTTAGTGTAAAAATTAGGAGAAATAAATAGTCTTTCCCAGGAAAGGACATACCAGCTGGTTATCCATATGAAATGAAAGGACATACCAGCTGGTTATCCATAGGAAAGGACATGCCAGC